TATCTCCACTTAGGTTTTGCAACACTGAAAATCTGGGCACTTTACTCCAGAAAAACAATTAAAATGGATGATTAGGCACCTGGGAGTTCAACTCAGTGAAGGGGAGGACCTGGCCACCTCCCAAAAGTGTGATCCAGAGCATAGTGCTGAGCAAGAGACATAAAAGCAAGCCAGTAGGAAATATGAGTCACTAGGATGTCTGAACTCCCTTCCTTTTAAACAGAGATGTCAGACTCAGGGTTGCACAATAGGTGTCTCTGTCATCCAGAGCACCCTTAAGGGAAGCAGCTACATGAACTAGGACACTTACCTGAAAGCAGCTCTCTCCCTTTTGTACATAGGATGGTGGGGGCGATTTACAGGGTAATGATCGTAATGCTTGTTTTGCTCAGTAGCCTAGTAGTCAGAACATTTCAGTGGGAAGTAGAAGCCTTCACCAGCTTATGAGTACTCAAAGCCACATTTTCCTACTTTCCAAGAGAATGATTCAGTCACCTGGCTCCAGAATAGACTGTCAACTGTCCTAATACAATTTGGCCATGGAGCAGCCAATAGCAATTTCTAGCATTGCTTTAAAATAGACAGAGGTGCTCAGCCTCCTGCACGTGGGCCAAATGTACCCTGCCAAACCATTGCATGTGGCCTGCAGGACTCTCCACAGATGTGGAAAGTTAGAGCAGTGGCCATTAATACAGCCAGCCTCCCTGCTGCCAAATTCCCAAACCCCAAGCCCCGCGTACCTGACTGGAGCCAAACCACTCCCTCTTTCTCCTGTGGGATTGGGTTGGGGGTCAGGCCATGTCCCCTTCTTGTGGGGCTGGGCCATGCCCCTTTTTTCACCTGTGGGACTAGGTTGGAGCTGGGCCATGCCTCCTTCCCCTCTCCCCCACAGCCATGCTCCCTTTTCCCTCAAGGGGCTGTGTTAGGGCCAAGTCATGTCCCTTTCCCCCCATGGGGCTGGGTCAAGCCCCCCTCTTTTTTGTTTGGCAATTTGGGACACCATAAAAAGGTGCTTTATTTTCAGAGAATACAGAATACCCACCCTCTGACAGTAAGGTCCCATGAATGAGTGCTCAAAGTGACCAATACCTTTTTTAAATTTAGGCCTCTAATTCTAATTCACATAAACAGAGCTTGGAATAACTGCTATGAAAAATCAAAGTTTGCAGCATAATATTTATTTTCTATTAAGAAGCATACACTTGTTGCAGATTGCTACCGAAGCCATAGAAAATATTCGAACTGTGGTTAGTTTGACCCGGGAAAGAAAATTCGAGTTCATGTATGGACAAAGTTTACAGGGACCATACAGGTAATAAATACAAATTAAAAAATAATTTGAGCTTGCTCATGGTTTTAGAATTAAGTCAAGTTTCACAAACAGACTGGAATAGTATTTATTTGTTGTTGTATTACAAAACTTTCTACTCCAATTTATTATTTTATTACCTGAAAACATGTAATAACTTTTGCTTCAGAAACTAATCAATAGCAAATATATCATTTCTGTTCTTGGAAAGAAATCTCATTTAAACAACCTTTCCATGGTAATACTAGTTTAGTCTACTATAATACCTTATCTTGGAGGTTTTATTTCTATAAAATGTTTTCTCATAAAAGTAACTCACAACTGGGTGTAAGGGTGTATGAATGTTTGGTTGCTTTTGTTTGGCTTTTAATGTTTGGATTGAACTCAATTTTTTAAATGTTCAAACCAGAAATGGTGACATTTTTAATAAGTCCAATAAAACTGAAATTTTATTCAGGGTCAGCTTCACACATTTGTAAGAAAAGCAAAAGCAAGTAAAGGACTAGATTTGCACACAAGACAAGTTGATATGTGCCTATTAATGAGTAGCAATAAGATCCAAAGCCTCTATGTAGCATGCAGCAGACTGGGGAGGGAGCAGAAAACAAAGTGACAGATTAAGCAGAGAAGGGCATTGGAGTGATACTCGGAGGGTGTCGACTTGCCTTTTGACATGCCTATCAAAAAAAAAAAAAGAAAAAAAGAAAAAGGTTGGCCTCCACTGGATTAGAGCATCTACCCAAAAGGTGAGCAGATCTGAACCCACATGTTATTAGGAGTGGGAGTTGGAGGACCAGGGGAGTAGTATGCAAGTATGAAAAGCAGTATGCAAAACAGAACAATATCAGGTTTAGGAAGGAACTGAACCCAAGTCCCTGCATTTTGAATTAGTATTGGATTAAAGGGGGTTAGCAGCAACATCTTAAATAACACTGAATCTGAGAATATGCCCCCCCCCATTTGCAATCCAAAACTTTTTAGTGATTGTTGTTAATTTCAGAGTAGATGATTCCTAGTAAGTTCCTCTTTTGTCAAAAAAATTTGACCCAATTTTGCTATTTAATTAATGAAGTATGTGGTTCTACCAGCTAAAATATTACTTTTGTAGTATGTATTTGGGCAAATCTCTTATTAAACTAGTGGTATTTTGCTTAGGTAAGTGCTTAAGGAGTAGACTCCAAATTCCTCCAGTTGGAGGGGGGCAAATTCAAGGCAAACTTCCAGTAATTAGGTTCTGTACCTGGATAATTCTAGCATATTTCTACATTTTCCATATATAGAATCTAACTACTAGGTGGGTTGTCTTATAAGGGTAATCTATTCGAGTAAAATCAGTAATTTTAGGACAGTCTTTGGAGACTAATAATATGGTATTTGAAACTGTTAGCCATGTTTGGGACTACAGGCCTTGGGATTTCTTCCTCCCATCTTGTGATAAATTATTTCAGGCTGAGAGGTTAAGCTACAAAAGAACTGTATTCTCTTTGGGAATAGCACTGCAGAACACCAGGGGCTATTTTACCTTATCTTAAAGAACCAAGTATCTACAATTTCCAATGAAAGCAGTTGAAGCAAAGGTCACTTGGCAACTCCTTTGAAATATTAATGACAAATATCAAATAAAAATAATTCTGTTACAGAAATTCTGTGAAGAAGGCACACATCTTTGGATTTAGTTTTGGACTGTCACAAGCCCTTCTTTACTTTACCTATGCTGGTTGCTTTCGGTTTGGTGCCTATTTAGTGATAAATGGACACATGGATGCTACAGATGTGTATTTGTAAGTATTTACTGCAAATTTTTTTGTCCCCACAGGGAAAGTTTCTTTTATATTGCTACAGGTGTCATGGGCCTCCAAAGTAGCTATGAGAAAACAGGCACATTTTTCTTCCACTCCCCTATCAAATTTATTACAGCTCTCAAACAACAGATTTATATTTTGTCTTCCCTCAGTTATACTTATGTAGTTCTCTTGAAATCAGTAGCCCTGCATTGTGGTAAATAAAGGAAATAGTATCAAAATGTGGGGCAGACAATTTTTGTGCTCTGTAGGTGATACAAGGTGGCAACAAAGCTCAATTGGATTTTAACAGAGCTGTAGCAGTAGCATTCATTCCCTACACTCTTTTCTAAGAGACTAACAAGAAAGGAAGGAAGAAGGAAGAAATGATTACCTGACATCCTTAGTTTCTCTCTGCCTTTCATATGATAGGGAAATGTAACAGGCCTCAGAGCATACTCAACTCTATTTCAGATAGACACTGGCTTAAGGATTCTGTGCTTATTATGGGTTAAGTGGTTCAAAATTGAATTAAATTTCCTTGCCTGCAGTATCCTGCATTAATAATAGTAAGATGTGTTAGCTTACTTTGACCTATCTTACTGTTTGAGTTGTCCTATTATCGGTCCCTGTCCTATCTTGTTCTAACTGTGAGGGGGTAGAGAGCATATTCTGAACTCATGAAACATGGCTTAGGAACTAGTATTCCCAGTTGCAAGATGCTGCATGAACTTAAAACAAAAAGGTGGTCCCTGTCCCATATTGCTCATTAGGCTCAAGGTACCCCTTGGAAAATGCCAGTTTTGAGTTTTGCCTTTTTTTGGGAAAAATCATACAGCAATTTCTTTTGGAAAGAACATGAACAAGAACAGGTCAGAATGCCTTTGACACTGTGGACTCCTAGTTGAAATCTTTGGGTTGAGCTTGCGAATCATGTGGAGGTCTAGGTGTTTGTACACCAGATCCTCCTACTTGAGAATCACTGCTATATTGATTTGTGCTGGTATTCTCTGCATATAAGCAGCATAACCATGTCAAGCTTATATAGGCTTCACAACTAAGAAAAATGGTAAGGAGGGATTTGAAAGAGAACAATGAGGTAGGCTTGTGGATGCTTACAGGGAATTCTTGGGCGTAAGGGGCAGCATGGGAGTAATTATGAATATATTGGCTTGCAAATCTGAGGTAGGTACAAATGCACACTTGGTGTAAATTAAAAAGGGGCGGGGAGCTGTTCTTGGGATGGTACAGCAACTGTTACACTATAATTGTTACCTGTGCTTGAGTGTAGTGGTAGAAGTGTAGCAGGGTCCAAGTCATGGCTACTTAACTCTCTTCTTAAGCAGCTAATCTACTTTTGTCCATGTCCCTAATAAGTGAGCAATGATGGCTGGTGTGATTGACTGTCGAGAGACTGACTACTCAACAGCCCATGACAGATGATTGGTAGAATGTAAAATGCCTTGAAAACAATGACCAATAGCATATACTTGATGTGCTGCATAGTAGCATATGCTAATAAGAAAGAACCAGTGAAAAGCTGCATCGACTTGGGTGAAGTGGTCAAAGCACTGAGTTAAATATTTTGTAATAGCATTATGGATGGATATGAGTAGGGCAAGATTCTATTTATTAAGATAAGGTAAAAGAAGTAGCAATCCAGATATGAACTTAAGAGCTGGGATGGGCTTTTTAACACTTTGAATAGATATTTTAAAGAGGTCATACAGAAAAAGTCTGCATAGCCAGGACATACAGACCTACAATGAGCACAGTCTAAGACTATTCCCAAGTAATGGGATTGTCTGATGGGCAGTATGATCATGTTGTGCATGCTGCTTAAGACTACAGGAAACCCCTGCTTAATGCTGTTTCACTTAGTGCTATTTCACTCTAATGCTAATTTTAAATTGATACCTGATTTCACTTAGTGCTCAATGAGTCTTTTTATGATGCTCGTGGTTGCCATCTTGGGTCATTAAAAACTATTGCAGTTGCCATCTTGGGTTGTCAAATAGTTTCGGTTTCACTTAGCCCTCTTAGCTGGTTCCTGAAAAACTGAGTGTTAAGTGGGGGTTGTCCGTATGAGTATCTTAGGAACAACTTGGAATGAGAGAGAGGTCCACTAAGTCTAATAGCCCATTGGATTTGTGTGGTTAAAGCATACTATGTGCTTAGCCAGCAGCAGACAAAGGAGTGATGTGACCAGCATTATTTCCAGTTCTTTGACACCCTAACCTGATAACCAGATGTCTTTGCATAGCTCATGGAAGGCTTTGGCATGAGTCCAGAGCACCATTTGAATTCATGCCTCCAGAAGCAAGGCACCTTAACTACTTGGCCACCAGACTGATGCCCCAAATGAGACTGGAGCCTCATTTGTACTAGCTGCTGTATAGGCACATAATAGCAGACACTTACTGTCAGAATAACAGGATTGTCCACTGTCCATAAATTCAGATGAAAACACCTGTCCATGAAATTTGTAAATAAATGTTCTGACTGCTTTGCAAAGCTCCCTCTTGGAAATAAGCTGGACAGCTGGAGTTTCATTGAAGTGCACATGAACACAATACTCTGCAGGAAGCCTTTTCTCAGGGTGCCTATAGGGGTTTATGCAGCCTGTCGGGGGGGGGAGGGGGCAGGCTAGAAATTTGCTTTTAAAAAATGTTCATGAGATTTGTTTTAAAAGTCTAGATTCTGGAATCTTCTGATTACACAATTACAAAATATTGTTGTACCCTTGCCAAAATAAATTACAAGCATTAGCACAACAATGATCAAGGGTCAGGTGGGTCTAATTTGAAATAGAACAAAATGAATCCAAGTGTCAAACCACTAGTTTTCATCCATAGATCTTGACGGCTTTCATAAATATAATTACTCAACTCTCATGCCTGGGGATCTTGAATCATAGAAAAGTGATACGGTTTTTCGTACATTGCAGAGAGAGACAGGGCTAGAACAAGGACTAGAATCCAGCTGTTATTCCTGTGGGTATAGATGACTAGAGAGTTCAAGGAATGGCTTTAGCTCCTCTTTTCTTGTTTCCCCTGGAAAAAAAAATTGAGAAAGTACTGAATATTAAACAGAAGCTTCTTTCATTTAATTAAAATGGACATTATTCTTGATACAAAACTCATTAAAACTGTATTCAGCAGCTCCAACTAAAAAAAAATGCGTAGGCCCCTGCCTCCATACATTATTCTTATTATTTCTCTCTCCTGGCTTGTATTGACAGGGTGTTTTCAGCTGTTGTATTTGGTGCAATGGCACTAGGACAGAGCAGTTCATTTACTCCAGACTACGCCAAAGCCAAGATGTCAGCAGCTCATATGTTCATGCTGTTTGAAAGGGTACCCTTAATAGATGGTTACAGTAAGGAAGGACTCAAGCCTGTAAGCTGAACACTGTGTTACAGAGAATATTGCTTATTCCCATAATTAATGTCATGACTTTGATTTCCACCCCCACCACTTATACCATCTGTTTACTAATCTTTGGGCCATTAAATTGTAGTCATCCAAAATGAAAGGTAACTACATTCTTCTTGATTTTTACCTATTATCCATTCTTTCCTCAAGTGTTTTATTCATTTTAAAAAATCTGGTTTTATGTAAGATTTATATGAAGCAGATATAATGGAAGTTTTGACCATTTTCTGCGTTGTATTTTAATTTGTTAACATCACAAAGGGACAGACCTGTGCAAAATTTAAGTCACTAGGACAGCTATCAGTTGAAGAAGAATGAGGTGGAGCTCTTTTCTATGTGGAGCCTTTTATATTGTTTATAGTCTGACTTCTACAGATTAATCAGATGTTACTATTTCAATTATAGGAAATATTTGATGGCACCATAACAAGCAAAGAGGTGATGTTTAACTATCCAACTCGACCGGAGGTCAAAGTGCTTCAAGGTTTGAATATTAAGGTAGAAAAAGGACAGACCCTGGCTCTTGTAGGCAGCAGTGGCTGTGGGAAGAGCACTGTTGTTCAATTGATTGAGAGATTCTATGATCCTCTTGATGGAGAAATGGTAAGTAGTTCCTTATGAGAATGCAACTTACAATTAAATGATAAAACATTCTATTCTTGTTAGTGTATATATAACAGTAAAATTTGTAACATTTTTGAAGATAAAGGAAATATAGGAGTGGTTTCTCTAGGTTTTTCAATCCCTATTCCACCCACTCTTCCCTCTCCAGCCCCTGCTGTCCCATTCCCCCCGCCCCCCCAACATTGCTTCTCCTCTGCTACATTCCTCCTTACCTTGTGCTGGCAGGCTTCATCCTCACTGCAGTAGGGAGCAAGTACTCCAGCCAAGCCTTGTGACACTAATGCCAGCCCTGCACCATTGCTACAGGGCTTGCTTGGAGCTGTACTCAGTGCCTCAGGCTATAGCAGGGACAGATCTGGCTGGCTTGGACCGAAGGTAAAGGGGAGGTAGGGGGTTAGACGCTTTGGATGGTGAGAGTCGGGAGGAACCAGTGGTTTCACTTCACTCCTGAATGATGGCTTTATACAAAGATTTTATACAAATATTTTGTCTTTAATTCATTAAGCTTCTGAGCATTTCTCTGCTTTAAATGTTTGCCAGTAGCCTTATGGGGCAATATACATTTGTCTACATCTAATAGAAGACTATAATTTATTATTTATATAACACCAACATCTATATGGTACTAGTCTTATCTTGACTAATGGGAAAATTCCACCTATATAATTAAACCAGTTTAACTCTCTTTGCAAATGCAACAGGCTGTATACACATTCAAATAATTTGGGAGAATTCTCCCAAGCTTGTTCTCCTGGTAGAAAAATTATACTGCTCTATCAGTTTCAGTAATGAAAGAGTTAAAATTATCACTTCTATTAAACACTTGCAGCCCACCAACTCATTTGAATTAGACCTTGATTTATATTATTAGGAAGTCTAGTCAGGAATTAAATTCACCTCTGAAAGGTGCATAAATGAAGCAATGATATTGTGCTTCCTCAGAGACCTTAACCTAAGGTTGAAGGATGAGAAAACAACCAGGTACAGGTATATAGGAGCAGATGGAAACAATGAAGCAATATCAAGAGGGATTTGGACAAGGACATGGGTTCATGAATTTTTTCACTGGGAGCTTCATCTATGCACATGGGGCAACAGAAGAAAACATGAAGTTGAAGTTCCTTTTTAAAAAAAATCTACTTTATCATTTTATTAGCAGTAATTAACATAGCAAGATACTATACATTTAGCTAATTCTTAACATTTAGAAAAAATGTTTTATAGTTAATATACTTAGGTAGTGATTAGACTGAGTTCAGTCTGCAGTTTCATGGATAATCTGAAGGCAGAAGAACCTGGCACTGAGGTGTAAACCTTGAGTACTGCTTTGATTCCTGCTCCCAGAGGCATACCTGATAACATTTGCACTCAGGGGTTCTGGAATGGAGGGGTGGGGGCTCAAAACTCCAACGAAGTAGAACAGGCAGGTATGGGATGCTGCTGCAAAGGATGGCTTCAGGTATTACCACCAAAAGCCAGGTTAACCTTTCCCTGCTCCTGAAGCCACCACTGAATTCAGAGCTTTGGGTTCTCACTAGTACAATGGTTAAAGGAGCGGGGAAAGGGTAACCTCACTCTTTGCTGTGATGTTTCTTGCAGCAGTGTCCTGCCCCTGTTCTGTGGCCAGAGCCTGGCCCCCCCTTGACACCCACACCTCCATTCCAGTGCCACAGGGTACAAATGTTGTTAGGTATGCCTCTGGGGATGGGATCCAGAGCAGCACTTGAGGGTTGGTTGGGGCTTTACCTTATGGCACACCTGCCAAAAAGGTTGTCCAGGACTGGTTTAGTGATCACCTAAGTAGAAATGTATCAGTTTTCAATAAAGACAATAGTTAAAGACTTTAACATCTACCTGTAGAAGTTTTTGGAAACAGATCTTTTTGCCATGAGACAATACCAAGCATCTCCAATCCTATTCTAGAGCAGGCACAGAGAGTTTGTCCATATCAGATGCTTTTCTTTTTAACTGGGAGTAGGTCTGTTATGCTTTCTCCTCTACACTTATTCAGAGGATAAAAATACTAAAACATGTTGACACCAAAATGATCTTAATGGCCAAGGTGATGATGGTACAAATATACTGCAGACCTTTCCCCAAGGGCTGTATGGACTTCAAGGTTTGTCATTCCCAGAAGAAAGCAAGACTTACTATCCTGATTCAGCATTACTGTACCTGATAGCATAGGTTATTGGACTTCAATGGATTTTGAAAAATCTCTTGTTCTTGAGGGGTGCAGCAGGTATTACATGATGCAAGAAAACAATTAACTAGACAGTGTAATGAAATCAAGTGGACTAGATTTGTGAAGTAATTACATAACCAACCTGGACTTTCTCCACAAGCATTAGTTCAAGTAACTGTGGAATACTTATTCCTTTTGAAAGTTTCAGGCCTGTTTGTATCCTTTCTATAAAAAAAAAAAAAGAGAAAAGTTGACAGCAGTTTTTTAGTATGCCATGTTCATGTGTCTGTCTTTGCACTGGACATCGTAAAAAATTATGAAAAAAACTTGCCAAGGCTAAAAGTGAAGGAATCAGTTCTATCAGATCTCTGTTAAATCCAACTTGGCTCATGAACTCTGTTTGAGCCTCTACATCTATACTTACCGTCCCATTTGGTTTCAAAACAGCTTTCAAGGTAGCCATAACTTCAGCCCACTGGCTGAATGAATTACATACTCTAATGACAAAGCACCCTTCCATTAGAGTTTGCAAAGATGATGGTTCTGCTTTGCCCTCACCCTAGGTTTCTACCCTAAGCTAGTGCCTGACATCCACATCAAATGAATGATAAATTGGCCAGTTCTCTTCCTTGATCACAGTCACAAAGAGGAATCTAAATCATAGCTTAGTACCTAGAGTATATCTCTAGGCTACTATCTAGACAGAATTCAAGAATTTAATAAATTTCCCAACCTCTGTTTCATGTATGGATAATAGTAAAGTCAGACTAGCTAGGTAAGTTAGATGATGAATGGGGGAAAAAAAACTCCTGTGCCATGCTAAGGTTACCTTACCTCCCCAAGCATGCCTTAAGCCTATTCTAATGTCTGAGATGTAAATCTTTGCTATAAAGAACTCAGTATACATTTATAAAACACTATGCTTTAAACCCAGTGTAGGGATTAGACATTCCATTTGGTAGGGTGGTACTTCAGTCCTTATGCAGTAGGACTCCCGAGTCCTGCTGCTCATTGGTAAGATCCTATTCACAAGGAAGACTGAAAAGTAATATGCAGATGACACTTGAAGAAAGAATGAATGTTAGCACCACTGTCTATCAGATGGTGCTAAGGGATCATTTAAAGCCCAATTAACCCTTAAATGGACATGAAATTTGAAAACGTATCACTTCAACAAAAGTCTGAATTTATTGATATAACAAAAGTTACCTTGGTTTCTATATACAGAGAGAGAGAACACACAGTCATTCCAGATGTTACTTTACTCCCACAGGAAGGTGTCCAAATTAGTCTTTAAAAGTTAAAGGGTGCATAAGTAGGAAATATTTATGGCTGACAAAATCTAGACAGGTGTTTGAAGGCTAGATTTGTGGTGATCTTTCTTGCTGTCCCCTCTTTTATGCTTTTCTTCAACTTCACTCATCTGGTGACTCTCTGCTTCCGGGTACCATTGATTGGTTTCCATACAGTCCATGTTTTATCCTGTCAGCATATTCCTTTGCTTAACAGACTCATTACATGCACACATCCTAATTTGGTCCTTTACTGGTGTCTTAATCTGGGCATTGTCCATTGGTTTCCTTATCACCTTTCATTAATATATTCAATCATTTCATCCATCTGATTTGGCTGATTAGTGCCAAGTTCAGTTAATTTGAGCTGGTAACAAGGCTATTACCATTGTTTAGAAAAATTTCTCAGTGTTGTTTTTTTTTTTTTAAAGGAAAGAAAACATATGAGGAAGTTGAAAGCTATGAGCTGTGAGAACAGCTCAAAGCCAGCTGATACAAACAGGTTGAAATAATCAGGCTGTACAAAAATGTAAGCAATGGTTAAATAAGGCTAAATATAAAAGAGAATTTCAAGTAATACTGTAATTCACCACTCCAAGCAGGTACAATTTAAATGCAAGATGCCTACCCTAACATGAAGGTTGGCTTCATATGGAGCAAGATGGGCTCTACATATCCACACTCCTTGCCCACCTACCCTGCTTTATCAGAGTCCTAATGAAACCTTGACTTTCAGGAGGCACCTGGAGGTTTGGTGGAATCAAAGGGCATCACCCTGTATTTTGTAGCCAGTTCTCAGATCATTCAGGTGCTATTGGGAGGAGTGACAGGGGTACGTGAGCACTAAAATCAGAACTGCTATAAGGTTTAACTGTCCCAGTTGTAAGGATTGACATGACCATGAAAACAAATATGCAGAATCAATCTCAAAACTGCAACGTTACCTTAATTTCTGTGCCTCTGAAATGCATGGTTTCTTGCTTTTTTTTAAAGCTGCTAGATGACCAAAATACAAAGGCTTTAAATATTCAGTGGCTTAGAGCTCAGATTGGTATAGTCTCACAAGAACCAATTCTGTTTGACTGCACTATTGCTGAGAATATTGCATATGGAGATAACAGCAGAGAGGTGTCACATGAAGAGATTGTCAGTGTATCAAAAGCAGCCAACATCCATTCCTTCATTGACTCTCTACCAAATGTAAGTTTTTAAACTTTTTGTTTTCTACTCGGAACTGAAAATTACCTATGAAAATTGTTCATTTTCATACTTCTCTAAAATACAAAAATCTTAAAGTGTTCATTTCCTCCGCCTTATTTACTGTGAATTAGTCATGAAGTTTTATCTGTTCTACTTCTTTCCTTAGAAGTCTTCATGGACATGTAGAAAATGAGATTTAGGACATCAAAATAAGTAAGCAAATGAAACCTAATCTGTTGAGATAGGAAAGTGCTTTTAATCAAGATGGTTAAAATGTCTTAAATTGGGGTTTTTATTACTCCCTGCTTATCAAACACTTGGGAGAAAAAAGATCTTTAATAAAGAGTCAGTCAATCCATGAACTTCTAATCCAAATTAAACTCATTTTAGGGATCTCTCAGATAAACCTGGCAAGGCAATACAACTTGATAGTTCAGTATTTGAATCTTTATTTATTGTATTTAGAAATATAATACCCGTGTAGGAGACAAAGGAACTCAGCTCTCTGGTGGTCAGAAGCAGAGGATAGCCATTGCTCGAGCTCTTATACGTCAGCCTCAAGTTCTACTGCTGGATGAAGCTACATCTGCACTTGATACAGAAAGTGAAAAGGTATTTGTTTGGGTGCCTGCTACAAAGAGGAATCTTTAGATTGTGACAGTTGGAATAACTATTATGATTTACTTGCCTTTAGATCAAAAGTCTGAAAATTTAGAAGATTTTATGTGGGTAGGATATGCATATTCACCTATCTGTAAACATGTTCCTTATTTGACTAAATGACAGCAGCTGTTTAGAACAGGGTTGGCAACACATGACCTGCAGGATGCTTGGGGACTTCAGCAGCATTGTGGTAGTGTGGCTTTTGCCTGTGCCACAACCAGGGAGAAGCTGTGTGACAGCTGAGTTGAAGTGCTGGCCTGCCTCCAACCTGAGCTGGGTTGTTCTGGCCTGCTGCTTTAAAAAGTTGCCAACCGCTGGCCTAGAATATCCAGATCACTATCACACTTTGAGACCATCTTTAATTCATTTTCTATTGCACATGTGGTATCTGAAGAACTTAAGTACAAGTCCATTTCCATTCTTCCTCTCTCCACAATAGCCTCCCTTTGCCCAATTTCCCTTTCCTTGTGGGTTGTTGCATGTCTAGGTTCTTGCACTCATCCAAAGTAGGCTTTCTGAAACATTGTACCAGGTTGTGTTGCTCATACGTAACTCCTCCTTCATGCAGTTTTGGGTAGTATTCCCAACCTGTCATCTCCCCCCACACAGGAACAGCCAGAGTGCCACAGTAAATGGTGATGTTCTCTACATAGAGGTTAGCAGGCAGCTTGGGAGTAGTATTGCAGTATGCGCTGGGCTGGTATCCTTCCAGAGTCTACTGGAGAGCAGCTGCTGTTAAGAGTCTATAACAACTGCTTTCAAACTTAATGGAGAGGGTCAGAAATTGGGAATCCCCTGTGTAATCTGTGAGATTTGGGAATTCTTCCAAGTTTTTTTTTCTAGAATGCATTTTCTCCAACTCAAAGTATTGATTTTTGAGAGTGTTATTTGTACCCTGATCTTTGCTGCCTTGTCCCCCTCCCATTCAAGCCTCCAAGAAATAAAAACTGCTTGAGTGTATTACTTGCCATATTTAAATACACTGTATGTACCAAAAATTAGGTAATTACCTATATTGCAACCCTAGTGTTCATAAAATTGAGTCAGATGTCCTCTAAAACATTGAGAGTAGCCTGAAACTCACAAGGTTTCAGGACTGTTTTAATTGCCGTCTTGGTTTTGTCCCCATATGTTGCCCTAAGGTCATAATTCCAAGATCTTTCTCTGCAATAACAAAAACTAGAAACTCTCTCTCAAAAAAGCCTTGAATCATTTTGCCCTGGATGGAGCTGAACTTTAAGAAAGCTATTTACCCCAAGACTTGAGGGAAATCAGTGCTGATTATTCATTTAAAATATCTGAAAATTTATTTGGAAAGTAAAGGACTAAAATCTCTTCAGCTACAGTGAGCATAAGCACACAAACTTTTCCACTGTGTATGTAGAATAAACAACTCTAGAGTTTTAACTAAAGAAGGATTTTGTCTTGAACTCCTGCCTTAAAAACTAAAATTGTCCAAGGTAGAATTAGCTGTGTTGTGTTGGGACCTAAACTGGTATAAATAGCCATACTGTGGATATCCTTATTCTACTATGATTATTCTATCAATATTCTCATGTAGACAAGTCCTATTTCAGCTTGATCTCTAATTAATTTTTGTTTTGGCAAACTTTAGGCATCCCCCCATGTATTGGATACACCACTAGGCAGAACTCCTTTTAAGAGAGGTCTGGAACTAAAACAGAAGAGGGTTTGCAGGTCAATGGCAGAGACATTTGCACCATTGCTGTCTATTAAAATAATGCACTTAATGCTAAAAATACTTTCTTATATTTTTTTTGTCAGAATAGACTCAGGGTTGCTGACTGACTTCATTGTAAATCTTCTACTATTTGGTCTTGTCCTTTATCATGCAATTATATGTGAACTCAGCTTTTATTAAAAATAATAATAAAAAGGATATACCTTCATAGTCACAGAGAAATACTTTTAAACATGTCAAAGTTGAATTAGAAGTGCTCAGAAATCAAAATCTAGGTAAGTGTGACTGCCAGTATTGATTTAATTTAGATAGGCCATATTTTATTACTCTGTAGCCTCATTTATGATTGAGAAATGCTTGGGACTGGAGGTACTAAAACATGGTTCACACTGAAGGTGGGTTTCCATGTTTTAAAGTGAGTATGATGCCCATAAGATAGTAGATTGACATTGTTGAAGATTAGCCTGACAACTGGCCTGGAAGCAACCTTGCATAGGAATGAGGGTAGGGTAGTGTGATGAAATATTTGGCAGCATGAATGCTTTTCCATTAACAACTTGCTTGAAATTACCAACTGACAACAAGCAAAGCAGTCATCAGTGTTAGTAGTTATCACTCCATTGTCACCTTGGGATAAACTTAGACAAGGGCTAGAGATTCATCCCACTACTAATCACTTGAGCTATCCAACCCCCATCTTTCTCATTGCTGTTTTGCAACTTAGAGCAAGAGTGCTTACCCCCTGGCCCATAGATCCAGCCCCCCAGTACTGTTATCTGACCTGTGTGGCTCCCCATGGGCGTAAAACTGACAGCTGGGGAGCAGTGGCACATCACCCCTGCTGTCAAATTTTCAGATTCATGGGGAGCTCCACAGGCTGGAGAGCATGGCACTGTATATGGAGCAGCATGGGGCCCCAAGGCCTGATCCCAGTGTGTGGAGGTGAGCAGTCCCTGATCCTGGTTTGCAGAGGCAGAATCGGGCTCAACCCTGGCATGCATGGCTTAATCTGACCTGTAGATTGGTCCTGCATTACTCTAGACCACAGGGCAAGAAAAGGTGGTGTACCACTGAATTACAGGATAACAAATTATAAATACCTGTCACTGACTGCTGGTAAAACTGTAATTTGGAGGAATACTTAACTTACTGAACAAGTAACTTTTACTTTGGTAATCAACCAGGTTGTCCAAGAAGCATTGGATAAAGCCAGACGAGGTCGCACATGCATTGTAATAGCTCACCGCCTGTCCACCATCCAGAATGCTGACAAGATAGCAGTGCTCCAGAATGGAAGAATTGTAGAACAAGGAACTCATCAGCAACTCTTGGCTGCAAAAGGCCTCTATTATTCACTTGTCAGTTTTCAAGCTGGGTCATGTAATCTTTGAACTAAAAACAGTTCCATATTTCTGATGTGGAACTGTGCATCTATATTTCAGTATTTTGCAAATTGTGTTGTTATTGAACTGTTTCAATATGCATGTTTTTCAGAAATGATCTGTAAATAGAAAAGTTCATGCAAGGAAGAAACTGTCAATCACACACATCAATGTTGTTGTTATTATTGATTTCCTGGCTTAAAATAGTTAGTGTTAGTATGTTCATACTACTTTCTCTCAATAAGTCTATATCCAGAAAACTATTAGAAGATATCTACATGAAAACTGCATCATTTTCCTACTTTGCTAAGAGAATTAAAAGGTGAAAGAGCTAAGGATCTTATTAAATCTGTCTGGTATCTTATAAAGGAGTCAGCAGTGCAATTTCATTTTTAGCATTTGCAGAAGAATATGGGTAAGAGAATAATATGGTTAATGTAGGAATCTGAAATGACCTTCTATAGAAGGACACTTCCATAAATGTATGGAAAAAACAAACAGGAGGCCCAAGTATTCAAGTAGAGATTGTATTAAAACAGTAGTTCTGACATTGGTGGGAAGACTCAAAAGTCCCTTTAGAAATGGTCTGGATATATATATATGTAAAATTATTGTCCAAAGTCTTAAATGATAAAGTCCAGTCCAGTATGTATAGCAGTTATGATTCAAATGCTGCTGTTTATAATTCTTTCAAGCTTTTCTCTATTCTGCCATGAAGTTCTTGTACTTAAAGGCAAAAATAAAACTACACTTGATTACATTTCTACTGAATTACATTTTTCTGTATCAGGTATCCATCAAACACAGGGGGAAAAGGTTGAAGTAGCCTAAATTAAGTATTCTTTTAATCCTAAATACAATGTCCAATTTTGGTCACCTGTGATCTAGAAAGATGAATTTTAACTGAGAAAGTTAGAAGCCCAGCAAGGTGATCAAGAGCATAGACACCATTTTCCTAAATGAAACAGAAAACAAACAAACAAACAAAAAAACCCCCCAAACAAAAAAGAGGTTGGCTGCTTTAGCCTTACACCTGCCCCTCCTTCCTGCAAAAACAAAACAAACAAACAAAAAGACTGAGAAGGGTCTGAAGGACTGTTTTTAGAAGTACATGGTGGTAAACACCAGGGAGGAAAAGAGCTATTTGTGCACATAAACTGGTTGTGAATACTTTTATAGTGGAAATTACTATAAAAGTTCTAACCTTCTGGTTCTGTAACAGCTACCTAGTAAGTAGTGGAGGCAAAATCGTTAACTGGCATTAAGATGACACTTAAAAGAGATTCAGTCCTGGGTTTTCTTGTAGCAGACTGGAATTGATGACAGGGGAAGTACCTCCAAGTCCTATTTTCCTAGAGTAATTACCACTTTATCCTGTTTGCTTTTTCTTAGAATTATTGATATATACAATTCTCTTTAACTGTTATTATCAATTAACTTGTCCCAGCATCTCTTAGGGAGTGATTCTGACTGTCCCTAGAGCAAAGCAATTTCTTAACAGATTACCTTAGTCCTAAAACCATCCATAAAACATGAGTTTCATGTCTACAGAAAACAAGGAAAGTCTTGAGCACAATTCCTTAGCTCTGATTTCACCCTGCAGAATACTGGTTCTGGGCTGTTGTTGTGACAAATTAATTAGCTAATATAACAGAAAGGGCTGGGGTAGACCAATTGAAAGATTAGTGAAGCTATTTGATCTGGCTTCAAAACTAGATTAATTAAAGGAGGCACTATTTCACTGTCAGGGCAGCTAAGAGCTGGCACCAACTTCCAAGTGAAGTGGTGCTTGCCCCTACCCTGGGGGTCTTCAAAAGGAGGCTAGATGCCATTGAGCTGGGGTTATTTGACCCCAGCATCCTTTCCTGCCAATGGTAGGGGGTTGGACTAGATGATTTGTTAGGTCCCTTCCAACCCTACCACTTATGAAACTATAAAGAGTTAGGAACATGAACACAACTAGAACAGAGGAAGGTATATTTACAGAGGCCACATCAAACAAGAACAGAACAGTGTGCATGGATATACTTTAAATTCAAAATCTGAGGTCTCTGGTGCCTGGTACTTCATTCTGCCGGGGATTACAAAAGCTGGTCTGGTCCTGGAGTGATTTAGCCACTGACATAGGAACTAGGCAGTTAACACACAGCAAGTCTAGTCCTGGTGTGTGGAAGTCATTCACACAGGAACTAAACAAATTTGTAGATGCGCCACACAGACCTGGACTTACTTCCTTAGACACGCACATGCATGCTCAGGTATGTGCAGAGACACTTCTGTGGTGAACTTTCATAACAATGGTGCCTGGCAACTCGCTGCTGCCTCATTAGCCACTCACATATCCACAATGCTTGCCAGTCATTCAACTTTCAGCAACCTTTCATTTTTCAGCTCACTTTACCTTGGGCATGTCACTGCACTCATTTGTCAGTCACTCAGTTTTTTTCTGCCACAACTCAAGTACCAAATAAGTACGCTTTCTAAAGGCATGAGAACCAAAGTTGGCTCTTTCCAGGTTTTTCCAAGCCTTGTCCCAACTATGCATGCTCAACAGAGCATTTAAACAGAACAAATGAACCCTGGGGTCTACACTGTATACTTCAGACAAGAAAGAGGCTTGCCTGCCTTTCTCTTTGCAAGTTTTGCATACAGATTGCAAGGGAATGGCTCTTTGCCTGGAAAAATTGGCATTTTTGGGTAGCTTTTGCAGTTTCATAGTTTCATAGTTTCTAGGGTCGGAAGGGACCTGAGCAGATCGTCTAGTCCGACCCCCTGCCATGACAGGAAAGAGTACTGGGGTCAAACGACCAGTTTCCGATATTCACCCATAACATATTTATAGATGGCCACCAAGTCCCCCTCAGTCTTCTCTTTCCCAGGCTGAACAGTCCCAGATCCCTTAATCTTTCCTCATAAGGTTTGTCCTCCAAGCCCTTAATCCTTCTTGTGGCCCTTCTCTGCACCCTTTCAAGATTCTTCACATCTTTTTTGAAGTGTGGTGCCCAGAACTGGACACAGTACTCCAGCTGGGGTCTCACCAGTGCTGAGTAGGGAGGAAGTATCACTTTCTTAACTCTGCTGGCAATGCATTGGCTAATGCATCCCAATATGCTATTAGCTCTGTTGACTATAGCATCACACTGGCAGCTCATGTTCATCCCGATCAACCATAACCTCGAGGTGCCTTTCAGCCATTGTGCTGGCCAGGACATCTCCTAACCTATGTTCATGTGGCTGGTGACCTCTCCCCAGATGATGCACTCTGCATTTATCCTTATTGTACTGCATCCGGTTCCACTCCGCCCATCTTTCCAGCTTGTCCAGGTATTTGGATCTGCATCTTATCCCCCAGCTGTCCCAGCTCCCAGACAGCAGGCAGCGTCCTGCTGAGCCACGCTTCACGCACACAATGCGACAGGTGCCGTGAAGGTGCCAGGTGTGCGGGGGGCAATCTCTGCTTCCCCCCACTGCTCAGCACTGCTTGGGGGGACTCTGCCATGAGCCCTCAGAGGCCACGATCCCTGTTGCCAGATCCAGTGAGTGCGGGCCTTTTTTTTTTATTTAAGTTCCCAGATGCTGGGGCCGGGCTGCGGGGGAGGAGATCAGCAAGCGGGGGCTGTGCAGGGGGGCTCTGCCATGTAGTCCCAGAGGCCCTGATCACCACTAGCAGAGCTGGTGGCTTTTATTTTTACTTTTTTTTTTCAAATGCCAGGAGGCTGGGGCCGGGCAGGGAAGCCATGGGGGTTTCTCCTGCGGCTCCTCTGGCTGTGCCTGCCTCTGTCCCCATGGGGGGAGCCGTGGGAGAAGCCCCCATGGCTTTCCTGCCCTGCCCCATCCCCCATTCACCCAAGCCAGTGGGGGGGGGGTATGCAATGCAGGTGCGGCTTGCTCCAGGTGGCAGCAGGGTATAGACTCCACTCCTAGCACTGCCGTGCCCACATCGGCACCGGACATGGTGACTCTGCCCCGCCACTGCTTGTCAGCTGGTGCAGGATGTGGGCACGGCAGCACTGGGAGCTGGGGCTCTGCCCTGCTGCTGCTTGCCCTCTTCCGCCTGGAGTGAGCTGCATCAGCATCCCGCATCCTCCCCCGCCCTGGCTGGGCAAGTGGCAGCAGGGCAGAGCCCCAGCTCCCAGCCCTGCCACACCTGTATCCTGTGCCCCCCTGCCTCCCTCCCCAAGTAATGTGCCCTCCCCGCCCTGGCTGGGCAGCTTGTCCCAGTCCTAGTCCCAATCCCTCTCTCTCCCATGCCCCTTCCCTCCCCCCTCTCCCAAACCCAAGAGATTTACCAGCTGGAGGCAGCTATGTCAGCTATGTCAGCTGCCTGTTTGTGGTTGAATCTCTAAAGTGGCCGAAGCGTTTCTAAAACTTTTCCAAATCGATTTGGATGCTTCAAATTGATTTGGAGCTTTTAATTGGTCTTCCAATTAGATTCGGATTCAGAGATTCGGTCCCTGAATTGGGCTGAATCTCCTCCAAATCGAATTGGCTACCAAAGCTTTGCATAGCCCTAATACAGACCCTTCCACTAGCACTTGTTGACCCCTTAGCCATTTCCCAGCCCACCTGACTATGGACTCAACCAGACCATAATCCTCCAGGTTTTTCTATAAGAGCATCATGGGAGACCATATTGAAGGCCTTTTTAAGATCCAGCAGGTATCTAACCTCTAAAGTGAAAATGGAAGATAACTATAGATAAAAATTACATATAACTTGAAAGACAGTGCTAACTAACCTAGTACTTATTCTTCTTCCATAAATGAGAATTTAATAGAAATTGTAATCAATTCCCATTTAGAAAACATTATAGTCTTTTACCACTGTATTTATTGTTATTTTAATATTTTGAATAAGTGCTCCACTGAAATGAAGATTCTTCTATAGTTGAGTGATATTTATCAGCTGCCACTAGGAAAAATATTTTAAAAAATACATTTTCGATAGACAGGATAAGCCTGATAGATTTACAGTGTTGAAAACAAAGTTCAAAGTTTCACCCCTTCTGAATGGCCCACTAAGATAGCATGATTAAGGAGCATAAGGGCTAGCAATGGGAATGGGCAAACACATTTTAGCTCCTTCAAAAGGGAACTGGAGCTGCTGCTTCTGATAGCAGTAGCTGTTTCCCTGCACCTGTTACCTGTGCATGATCCTGCATACATACCAGGGCAACAAAACCATTCCAGTTTTAACCCTGCTTTATCCAGGGTCAAAGTTGGGGGAATTTAGTTCATTTGTACTGCTACAGTCCCCTGCAGACATAAGAGTTACAGCTGCTGAATGCTCCATTGCAGCTGCAGCTCCCTTCTCCCTTTTGAGTCTGCTTCAAACCTTTTAGTTCAGGCGGAAGGCAGAATAGATTTGCACAGGGTAGATCCACTGTTTTGTGCACATCCTTTCACAGCATTTGAAGAACAGAGCTCAGACTCACAAAAGCTCCTGCTATACGTCTCAGTTAGTTAATCTATACAGTGGAAATCTACTCTACCTTCTACCTCGCTTCAGCTAACTACCGCTCTCATTTGTTCATGTCCGTTATGTCCAACCAATGTTGATTCCAGTTTGACTCCCCGACAAATGACCAATTACCTACTTATGGCTGGGTCCACAAGGAACAGCCTTTAGTATGCATCCAGAGTGAGGCTCAAATTCCTGCTCTCAGGCAACAGACATCTTAACTACTCTGCTGCCCAGCCCTTCACCTTGTTAAAGACTAATTTAACATTGCACAGTCCTGGATCAATAATTTGCAATGATGCATTTTTTGCAGGTGGTTATATTACTTTTAAAAGAAACCTTGGTTGTTTTCCAGTTAATTCCATAAATACTTAATGTCTATGCTGAGCTACAGTGGGAGTCTTCAAAGGAACTGAATGCTCTATGAAGTAGAGCAATTCATTCAGCAAGTGACACAAATAATGCATGACACAAGAAGATACAGTTATATAGCAACAGAAAAAAGTTTAAAGCTGGACCATGGCCATCAAGTGAATCATCAACCATGTTTCCTCCCTTTTACTTTAAAGTGAGGTAAAAATGGCTTTATTAGAGTCTCAGCAAACACTTTTTACTATATCAGTTTCTCTTTAGTTATGCCAAGTGGTAACATCCCTTTTCTCAAAAATCCCCCTTTTGAACAATCCAACACAGAGAAAGTGGTTTGATATTATATTCTAGCAACATCAGAAATATAAAAGGCCTGAACCAGGAAGAATCCATCATTTCATATTCTTTAGAATTCTGCAATTGTCTTGCCCAAGCCTCCAAATCTACTTGAAAAATTAAATCTACTACTTAATCTCTTCCCAGGCAGCTTTACTCCTTACTAAGGATCTGGTTCCAATTCAAAACTATTATTCAGTATTATCCCAGTGGATCCTGACTGGCATCAAATTAATTCCACTAGTCCGAAACTAGAAACAATGCTGTGATTAATCAAGTCTGTGTCTGATGTCCGTGTCTCAATGACAAAAGTTACAGTATTTAGTATTAAGAGTGGAATTTTAAATGCAACCTTAGATTGTTTCCTTTCACTTCATCCTGATACTCCCCCAGCTCTTAATATTTTTCTTCTTTTTAGGGAAGGTGTAAGATACATTCTATGTGGAAGATATTTCCTCCTGAAGCAGGTTTTTATTTAACCCCAGGCAAAAGTATTTAATTGAATTATCATACCAGATTTAGAGCTCTATACACTGAAAATGACAGTGCATACAGTATAAATTGACAAGACAAAAAGAGGAGAGGGGACAAAACATAGGCTTAAAGAGGTTGGATAATTTGCATTGGGTCACAAAGGCTGTCAGTAGCAAATCCAGAAACAGTACCCAGGTCTCTGGAAGGGACAGAAAAATTACATAAGAACCAGTACAAGTGATCAGAAACTGGTTCAAGTCTGTAACTCAACAGAAGTTCAGTGCACATAAACTGCTTTCAAAATGGCTGAAACCGGTTTAAGCTAAACCTGGATGGATGACTTAACTGGCCATCTGGTTAACTGAACCAGGTTAACTGGTTTACTGAACTTCTGTCCCAGATCCCCTCCAGAGTCAAGTTAACTCTCAGTCCGCCAGCATCCAAGGATGCTTTGCATCTCCCCCACAAGCCCCACCTCGCATGGTGGATAGGCTAGGCTTGGCTCAAGCTGTCTGCTCCAGTGGACCAGGGAGGTTCCACGAGTGGGGTTAAGGTAGGGTGCAGAAATCTGACTGATGCCAAGGACTAAAAAACAGTCCCTGGCTGCTGCTGCTGTTAGAAGCTGAGTGATTTATCTGCCCCAGCTGTTGTTTTTACAGCAGCAGTTGCAATGTCTGCGCATCCAGTTGCTGCTGCAAGAGCAATGCTGTAAGGCTGCTTTTTCTGGTAGGGTGCAGCCTCCGTAAAGGTGCAGGGGTTGATCCTGGTATGCCTCCTGAGCTGATGCCTGGGACTAGTGCTGAAGGGGAAGCAAACTCACAGGGTCTCAGAAATACAAATACAGAAGGCTGTTAATCCTTCTTTTACCCTGCCAGCCTGCTGTTTGGTAGGCCTTTTAAAAGGGACTCTTCCCCGGGTATTGACCTGTGGCCTGGCCCCACCTGGAGAGCAAATATACCAATTACTTCAAGACAACCAGATATAAATTCAATGAAAATGTATTATAACAAATCCAGTCACTAACAGCGCTAACAATAACAACAAACAGTCTGTATAATATTTACAGGGAACAGCCAAACAACACCAACTCATTACCACAAGAGGGTGGTTAAGAGCACTAAAGGCCTAGCATGGAGGCTGAGATGGCCTTAGCCTTAGCCACAGTCTCTGAGGCTTCCTCCGCCTTTCCCCAAATGGGTACTGAGCACCTTAGATTTAAGGGTAGGTACTATGAAGGTAAGTCCGGCAGGTGTGTTCAGGCAGGTGTGTTCATGGATAGCAGGAGTCGCTCCACAGCCAGGGACTTCAGCCCCTCACTCGCGCAGGCCCCCTTTTAGCCTCAACACAAACCCTGCTTGCCCTCTCTCTCCCCACACACCACCAATCCTCTCACAACTCTCACAGTCCAGTTCTCAGTCACGTGCTCGCACCGTCAGCCTCGCACACTCTCCTCACATGCAATTCGCACACCACTTGTGCTTTCAGTCTCTCCAAAGTCCAATCCCCCCAAGCCCAATTTCACACAGAGGTGATGGCTGTCACAGGTTTACACTGGACATGTTGCACCAGGTCACATCACCTGTCAATCATTCTGTCATCCAATCGTTACTCACCTCAGTCTGTCAATCAGCAGCCCATCTCAACTGGACCACTCATGACTGTCCACAACATGTACTTTATTATTATACTCTCTCCGCCCCTCCCCGCCACTGATTATATAACACTGTGGTAAACTGAGCATTCTCCATCCATTTTAATGTATGTAACTGGGCCATGAGGTCGCTGAGGGTAGAAGTTCAGGCATTCTGGAAACTTCAGGCCCTCTAGTCATGCCCACATGCGTGCAAGATGTTATGAATGATGCACATTACTAGGCACAGGCCAGCGTCTGGGGTTTACCATGTCCCTCTTTCCCCCACCTAGTTACACTACTGAAACTCATGATTTCAGAATTCAGTATTTCAATTATTTCAATTACTCTCGAATTGGGCTTGTCACCCACAAATGGATTCATCATCAGGCATCTGACTAGACCTATACCTGTACACCATGATCCAGAGGATCGATGGGTGCCTATTGTTATTATTTCAATTCAGTGGCAAAAACATTTCACCAAAATTTTTTTCAACTGGCTCCATTTGCAGAGTGATTGAACCAAGAAGTGAAATCTCAAATGAAAGCAAACAACATCCAATAGTAATGCAGATCATTTCTGCAATGTTTCAAATCAAACAAATTGTGGGAAACAAAATGTAATAGGAATTAAACAAGATCATGCAATTTAGCATGGCATCTACTGCTTCCATGATTTAGGTTGTTCCCTGCTGTTCTATGAATATATAGGTACAGATACAAAAGCATGTTTCATGGAATACAATTGGAGAAAATTCTCTTTTGTTCATACTAGATCATGGAGCTGGGTGGTTTAAGGGAAAATGCAATTTTTCCTGACAAGTTCACTTCTTCTGAATTCTGTGAAACTTGAGGAGGAACTCTTTCTGTGATACGACCTAGAGCAGTACTATTCTGTACCAGGTATGCTCAGCCTCTGGCCTGCAGGCCAAATGTGGCCTGTGGATGCTTGGAATCTGGCCTGCAGGGCTCTCCATGGATTGGGAAATTTGGCGGCAGGGGAGCAGTGGCAGTACGGCCACCCCTCTCCATGGACAAAAGTCCAAGCCCTGCAGGGCAGGTCTCAGCTGCGCTCTTCCCTGTAGGCTACTGGGCTGGTGTCGGGCTGCACCCCCTTCTCCCCATGCGGCTGGGCCACGCTCCCTCCCTGCCACTGCAGGGTTAGGCCATGCCCCCTTCCCTCCACCTGGTCAGGTTGGGGCCGGGCCACACCCCTCCCCCCATGGGTCTGGCTCAGGTCCAGGTCACAGCTCCATATGCCCCCCCACCCCCCATCCCCAGGGACAGCCCAAGCTCCTTTCCACCATGCAACTGGATCAGGCAGAGCCAGACTGCCCCTCCACCCTGTGTAGTTGGATGGGGCCCTGCCAGCCAAAAAGGTCAAGCAACACTGTTCTATACTATTTCAAACCTGGTGGAGAAGCATTTCTGTGTTTTAAAAGGAATGATTGAACTTCACTTGTCTTTGGGATGAGCAATGGTCACAAAGTAGTTCATTCAAAAACTGCATTTGCTAAACATTTCCCTTTCTAGAAAGTAGATCCAAAGCACATACACATTGCAATAAGCCTAGACAAGTTCAAGGGAACTGGGAAAAGCTGGCAAACATCAGCTACTGAAAGTTTGTGATCAGAACTGTTTTACGTAGGATGAGCAAAGTCCAGTCCTACTGAATGTACCTAACCATACTAGTCCTATTGATTGTAGAATAAACTTCTAAAAACAGAGAAGAAGAAGAGACTAAGAGCTACCCTCATGGTAAGGACACACATTAATTTTTACACCAGAGCTGTTTTTTATTTGTTATGTATATAAGTATATAATATGTAAAAAAGAAAGAAAATCAAAAGTACATGCATGCTGCTTTAAACAAACACTTTATCTTGCCATTTATATTAACTATGTTAAATTAAAGAAAACTAAATGGTTTGCAATGGCAGATCCTCAAGGAATATGCAGATAAAAAATGTACAAATAAATATAGCTAAACAAATTTATTGATTTCAGTGGAGAATTCTGCTTAAAATCTAAACAGATTAGAGACTTTTATTGGTTTTAAATAAAAGTTAATTTTAAAAATATCCTCTGCATACTAGCAATATGTTCTCTTAGTCAGGTTTTAATTTATATTTTCTGAAATGTTTTTTTCCCTGTAAATAGGTTAAAATGGGTTCTGAGGATGAAAGAAAATCTTATACAAATGGAATAGATTGTGACACTACTTTCTCATATCAGGATTATAAATTCAAAAGCAAAAGGTAAATTTTTCAATATATTTTAAAATATATTAACCATGCTTAGTTTCAAATGTGCAAATTCAAATTTAACCTTTAAACATATTTTACATTAAGTGCATGTCAGAAGCTAACCATATATCTGTTCAAATGTATTATATTCTTCAAACATGAAACTGATACTTAGCTGGTGGTTCCTACTGAATCCGCAGATCAGGAAAGGTCTGTCCTAAAAAAAATAAGTCATTGCTTGTGCCTGAAAGTTGCTTTGACTGAAGCTTTCATTGTCAGCAGTGAGAATGAGAAAAAATGATATCATCTTACCCCATAATCTTTATTGTAAGGAGAACGTAGCAGCTGTATCCACTATATTTTAGATTTGCCTTTTAATAAAGCAGTGCTAGCGTTGAAGTGGAAACAGACAACAAACAGCTAAGGTATACATGTAACACCTAGGAGCTGTGTTCTGACTTTTTTGCTAATGGTGATTAAGATCAAGTCCAGTCTCATGCATTCTGAGCACCTGCCCATTTTCCCCACTCCTCTCTTTCAGAAAACAGTGGACTGTAACTAAGAATGGATTCTGTACATTTTCTCCTCCTTCCTGTTTAGAAAGCTTCGCAGTGCATAAACTCATGACTTCCCATACCATATAACAGAATTGAAAGTAGGCTAGATTTCCAACTTAGGACATTTTTACATGTGCTCTGACGTGTTCTGATTAGAATGCGTCAGAGCAGACTTGATTGAGTCGAGTCTGCTGGAGCACTCAAATCAGAATGCTCTGGTGCGCTGCGGTGTCTCATGTATTTAGCATCCCGCACTTCGAAGTGGTGGCAAGGGCACTTTAACTACAGCCTGTTGAACAAGTTTTAGCTAAAGCACCCCTGCTATCATTTTGCAACATGGGATGCTGAATACACGAGATGCTGCAGGTGTTTTAATTAGAGCGGCTCCCAAGAGCCACTCTATTTAAAGCGTGCCCTCACCCCAGAGCACATGTATAGATGCCCTTATAGACTAACTAAATCAGAGTTATATAGCATAAGCTTTTGTGACCTGAAGCTCACTTCATCAGATGCTGTGAAAGAATATGTACAGAGAAGTATATCAAATGGAGAGTGTAATATAGTGGAGTTACCAGGGGATACAACTCTTCAAACATGCTAGGGGTAGGGATTACGTGCAGGGAACTCTGACAAACAAGAGTTGGGACTGATATATTGCAAAAGTGGCAGAAAGTGCTTTATATGGGTAGGTATGATATGGGTCTATGAGAGTATTACTTAGCAAAATTCCCAGGAATCCTAGGGCCACCTAGTGGGGTAAAGATCAAGCTTTGAGCTTTCATTTGGACCTTCCTGGCAACCCAGAAAGGAAAATACTGGGGGGAAATGGCTTTCTGTTTTAACTGTTGGTATCTAGATCAGCCTGGTGGGCTTTTTCTGCAAACTACAGCCACTTTCATCAAAACTTCGAGGCATGTGGGAGCCTTTTCTCTTCCTTTTTAGTAGACAATGGATCATATACCATATAAGGAGAAAGAATTATATCACTGGAATTAATTTTGCTCCTCTTTCATGCTAAGGAAGCAATTCATGTCTAAATAGGATTCAAAACACTTCTAAAGAAGTTTCCCAAACTTTTAATTTCCAGGGCACGCTTTTTTCTGAATTAAACTTGGTGGCATACTTCACTCACCAAGCCATGGGCCTGATTCTGCATGGGATACTGGCCTACCTGGATCCTGATCCTGCCTCACGGGTGTAGCACAGCTGGTGCCCAACGCTTTTCTCAGGGTCAGCCCTCCTGGAGCCCCATTTAGCCCATTTTTCGCAGCATATATCTGCCACTCTCAAGGCACACTGCTGTGCTGCAGCATACCCTTTGGGAATCATTATTATCTTCTTCTGTGGCTCAATTGTTTGCATGCTGAGTTAGCAAAGGGCCAGGAATTTGTGACCATTTTTTTTAGATCTGTACTTTGCTATCATGATTCATCGCTTTATCACATTATTATTACAATGCTGAAATCTCTGATAAGGTTTCACCTGCCTCCATGGGATTATACCAAAAAATTCCTAGTGGGCTATTAACATTTCAGTTGTATACCAGTGGGAGAGGTAGAGGAGACAGGGCTCTAGGCAGCTTTTCGCACTTTATTATTACATCAGTTATGCCTGCATGGATGTAGCCTTGGGGACTAAATGAGGATCACTTCTAAGAGTATGTCTGCACAGTACATCATGATGCTGTATAGAGATATCTGAACTAGCACTGAATGAACTAGCCTTAAGTACCAAAACCAGTGCAGATACATCAGTCTGGCACTCTGCCCAAGCTAAGTACTTCTTCTGAGAAGCAGGGTCTATTAACTTGGGGGAACACTAATGGAGATTTCCTGCTTCTAGTAAATATTACCTTAGCTAGCTTGTTCAGAGGTAGCTCAGATATCTGAGCATGGCACTTCATTATACAGTGTAGATATATCATCAATTTATTTATTTACTTATTTATGTATTACTTGTTTACTTATTGCTTATTCCCCAAAAGGCTCAGGGAAGCTTGCAATAAAAGAGAAAAAGACTTACAAAAAGAAAATTGTAGTTGGAACATCTGAGGTGAATGACCCGTACAATGACCATAGTTACAAATGATGTTGCAAAACAGTTGAAAGTAAAAAGAGAGCAGATGAAATGAAACTTTTCTCTGAAGTCTCCAAAGATTTTGTTATGGGCTTATGCTTTTTTACCTTTCCATCAAATTTCGTTCATTGTGTGACTAGCACAAAATGTTGCTATTTTTTCCAAGTTCTTTTTCCTCCTAAAATCCTTTCTTTTCCTCAGCACTTTACTCTTTTTCAAAGCGGAGCCAAATACTGAAAAGTATTTTATGCAGAGAGCTTTTAAGACCGCTGAAGTTAGCAGTCCTCAAGGAAATCACAAACATCCTCCAGTGTGCAGTGTTGTTGGTTGTAGCTGTGTTGGCCTAAGGACATAGGCAGGCCTTTGAGTAGATGTGATATCTTTTATTAGACCAACTAAATAGTTGGAAAAAAGTTCTTTGCAAGCTTTCAGGTACAAAGCCTCCAATATGCAGAATTCTGCAGTTTGCAGAATTAGATCTTCATTTTTCTCTCTCTCAATTTCTACAATATGTTCAATTTTGGGCCACCTGGGAGAGATGATAATACATTTAACAAAATCAGGACTACAGTAGGTTTTCAGGATTCATTAACTAGGTAATTCCTTTCAAATCATTTCTAATAGCTAATAAAAAGCTTTGTCCACCAAAAAGAGTGGAGGTACAAGTTATAGAAGCAAAGAGTTTTATTTCTAGTGGATTGTAAATCTGTTCCCTGAAAGAACAGTAATCTACACTTGCAAAAGGATTTTTTGACAGTATAAATGTAGGGAATTTTGCTGTCAAAGTTGTGTTGCTAAGAGAATCGTTTTCTTTATACGCTTAAATGACATTGATATGCCAGTAAACTTTTAAGACTAGACAAAGCCTTCATGTATTTCTGCAATCTAAGAGAGGGGTTGGCAACCTACAGTCCCAGGGTGAGAACCAGCTTATAGAGCCCAGGGAGCTGGCCTGCAGAGCTGTGGCTTTAGCAGCATTCAGCAGTGAGAGGGCTCTGCTCACATCCCACTACAGCCTGGCATCAGGGGCTTTGGTGGAGGGGGAATTTCCCTGTGTCATATCACAGTTGGGTGGTGGGGAGAAGCAGTGGAAATGGCTGGGTTCTTGTGCCAGCACATTTTTGCCTGGAGCTGGGTCATTCTGGCCCACCATTAGAAAATATTTGCCATCCTTTGATCTAAGAGATGGACTACAGATGCTAATTTTCTTTCAAATAAACTCATTAAAGAATGACATGTTTATGTTGAATGCCCTTGGATATTTCTTAAACATTGCAGTTAGTATTACTAGAAATACTGTCCTATACCAATAATACCCTGCAAATAATCATCATTTTATGTTTCATAGTTTCATAGTTTCTAGGGTTGGAAGGGACCTGAGAAGATCATCTAGTCCGACCCCCTGCCATGGCAGGAAAGAGTACTGGGGTCAAACGACCCCAGCAAGGTGTTCATCTAACCTCCTCTTAAAAACCCCCAGGGTAGGAGC